TATCTGGACAACGAACCTCTGGGCTCAAAATGTTTAAGAAAACGTCAAGACTAATGAATGTCATTGTGAGGAAACCAGGAATAGACCCACAACCTCTCTAACAAGCATGTCGTAAGAGTCGACTAATTGGACGCTTTCTTCGAAGTCGAATTGCATCTGCCTGAGAGGCAAGGAATCAACAATTTGCATACAAATAAGTCACGTCTGTAAAACGGATGTGCAACACAGCACTCGGATTCTTGAACAAGACTAAAGTTTAGAGGTGGACGAACAATCATAACTTTCCGCCGGAGTTTATAGCCGGTAAACACAAAGAAAAGAAAAATGTCATAAAAAGATATCACTTTAATGGTTTGTGGCACCTCTTTTGCTACAAAAGTCTGGCTGCAAGTTTTAACAAGCAGACAAGCATGTCGCAGAAGGCGACTAGTTCGGGGTGTTTACTTCAAGGTCGGGGTGAATCTACCTGAGAGGCAAGGAACTAAACGTTTTTATGAAGATCAGCCAGATCTGTAAAACAGATGTGCACGGATCAAGACCACAGTTCAGGAGGGGGTGAACCTTTTTTTTCCAAGTATCTGGAAACCATGAGCTGTTAATCCTTTGGCTCGTTACTATGGATATCGCAACCCTTCGGCCTTGATTTCATGATAGATACCGTAAATCTGGGAGAAATGTGGCTTTTCTGCCTACCCCCGGGCGTGAACCCAGACCACAAGGAGTTCGTTACCCGGTCACCGCGCATAGTGGATGAACAACTAGAACTTTCCACCAGTGTTTACAGCCGGTGATTGCAAAGAAGAAGAAGAAGAAGAAGAAGAAGAAGAAGAAGAAGAAGAAGAAGAAGAAGAAGAAGAAGAAGAAGAAGAAGAAGAAGAAGAAGAAGAAGAAGAAGAAGAAGAAGAAGAAGAAAGAAGAATTGTGAACGAACAGATCAATAAGCGCTGAATGATATATGTGATGTAGATTCCTAAAGAAATGATATATGTGATGTAGATTCCTAAAGAAATGATATATGTGATGTAGATTCCTAAAGAAATGATATATGTGATGTAGATTCCTAAAGAAATGATATATGTGATGTAGATTCCTAAAGAAATGATATATGTGATGTAGATTCCTAAAGAAATGATATATGGGATGTAGATTCCTAAAGAAATGATATATGGGATGTAGATTCCTAAAGAAATGATATATGTGATGTAGATTCCTAAAGAAATGATATATGTGATGTAGATTCCTAAAGAAATGATATATGTGATGTAGATTCCTAAAGAAATGATATATGTGATGTAGATTCCTAAAGAAATGATATATGTGATGTAGATTCCTAAAGAAATGATATATGTGATGTAGATTCCTAAAGAAATGATATATGTGATGTAGATTCCTAAAGAAATGATATATGTGATGTAGATTCCTAAAGAAATGATATATGTGATGTAGATTCCTAAAGAAATGATATACGGGATGTAGATTCCTAAAGAAATGATATATGGGATGTAGATTCCTAAAGAAATGATATATGGGATGTAGATTCCTAAAGAAATGATATATGTGATGTAGATTCCTAAAGAAATGATATATGTGATGTAGATTCCTAAAGAAATGATATATGTGATGTAGATTCCTAAAGAAATGATATATGTGATGTAGATTCCTAAAGAAATGATATATGTGATGTAGATTCCTAAAGAAATGATATATGTGATGTAGATTCCTAAAGAAATGATATATGTGATGTAGATTCCTAAAGAAATGATATATGTGATGTAGATTCCTAAAGAAATGATATATGTGATGTAGATTCCTAAAGAAATGATATATGTGATGTAGATTCCTAAAGAAATAATATATGTGATGTAGATTCCTAAAGAAATGATATATGTGATGTAGATTCCTAAAGAAATGATATATGTGATGTAGATTCCTAAAGAAATGATATATGTGATGTAGATTCCTAAAGAAATAATATATGTGATGTAGATTCCTAAAGAAATGATATATGTGATGTAGATTCCTAAAGAAATGATATACGGGATGTAGATTCCTAAAGAAATGATATATGTGATGTAGATTCCTAAAGAAATGATATATGTGATGTAGATTCCTAAAGAAATGATATATGTGATGTAGATTCCTAAAGAAATGATATATGTGATGTAGATTCCTAAAGAAATAATATATGTGATGTAGATTCCTAAAGAAATGATATATGTGATGTAGATTCCTAAAGAAATGATATATGTGATGTAGATTCCTAAAGAAATGATATATGTGATGTAGATTCCTAAAGAAATGATATATGTGATGTAGATTCCTAAAGAAATGATATATGTGATGTAGATTCCTAAAGAAATGATATATGTGATGTAGATTCCTAAAGAAATGATATATGTGATGTAGATTCCTAAAGAAATGTTATATGTGATGTAGATTCCTAAAGAAATGTTATATGGGATGTAGATTCCTAAAGAAATGATATATGGGATGTAGATTCCTAAAGAAATGTTATATGTGATGTAGATTCCTAAAGAAATGTTATATGTGATGTAGATTCCTAAAGAAATGATATATGGGATGTAGATTCCTAAAGAAATGATATATGTGATGTAGATTCCTAAAGAAATGATATATGTGATGTAGATTCCTAAAGAAATGATATATGGGATGTAGATTCCTAAAGAAATGTTATATGTGATGTAGATTCCTAAAGAAATGATATATGGGATGTAGATTCCTAAAGAAATGATATATGGGATGTAGATTCCTAAAGAAATGATATATGTGATGTAGATTCCTAAAGAAATGATATATGTGATGTAGATTCCTAAAGAAATGATATATGGGATGTAGATTCCTAAAGAAATGTTATATGTGATGTAGATTCCTAAAGAAATGATATATGTGATGTAGATTCCTAAAGAAATGATATATGTGATGTAGATTCCTAAAGAAATGTTATATGTGATGTAGATTCCTAAAGAAATGTTATATGTGATGTAGATTCCTAAAGAAATGTTATATGTGATGTAGATTCCTAAAGAAATGTTATATGTGATGTAGATTCCTAAAGAAATGTTATATGTGATGTAGATTCCTAAAGAAATGATATATGTGATGTAGATTCCTAAAGAAATGATATATGGGATGTAGATTCCTAAAGAAATGATATATGGGATGTAGATTCCTAAAGAAATGATATATGTGATGTAGATTCCTAAAGAAATGTTATATAGGATGTAGATTCCTAAAGAAATGATATATGTGATGTAGATTCCTAAAGAAATGATATATGGGATGTAGATTCCTAAAGAAATGATATATGGGATGTAGATTCCTAAAGAAATGATATATGTGATGTAGATTCCTAAAGAAATGTTATATGTGATGTAGATTCCTAAAGAAATGTTATATGGGATGTAGATTCCTAAAGAAATGATATATGTGATGTAGATTCCTAAAGAAATGATATATGGGATGTAGATTCCTAAAGAAATGATATATGTGATGTAGATTCCTAAAGAAATGTTATATGTGATGTAGATTCCTAAAGAAATGATATATGTGATGTAGATTCCTAAAGAAATGATATATGGGATGTAGATTCCTAAAGAAATGATATATGTGATGTAGATTCCTAAAGAAATGATATATGGGATGTAGATTCCTAAAGAAATGATATATGGGATGTAGATTCCTAAAGAAATGATATATGGGATGTAGATTCCTAAAGAAATGATATATGTGATGTAGATTCCTAAAGAAATGATATATGGGATGTAGATTCCTAAAGAAATGATATATGGGATGTAGATTCCTAAAGAAATGATATATGGGATGTAGATTCCTAAAGAAATGATATATGGGATGTAGATTCCTAAAGAAATGATATATGGGATGTAGATTCCTAAAGAAATGATATATGGGATGTAGATTCCTAAAGAAATGATATATGGGATGTAGATTCCTAAAGAAATGATATATGGGATGTAGATTCCTAAAGAAATGATATATGGGATGTAGATTCCTAAAGAAATGATATATGGGATGTAGATTCCTAAAGAAATGATATATGGGATGTAGATTCCTAAAGAAATGATATATGGGATGTAGATTCCTAAAGAAATGATATATGTGATGTAGATTCCTAAAGAAATGATATATGTGATGTAGATTCCTAAAGAAATGATATATGTGATGTAGATTCCTAAAGAAATGATATATGTGATGTAGATTCCTAAAGAAATGATATATGGGATGTAGATTCCTAAAGAAATGATATATGTGATGTAGATTCCTAAAGAAATGTTGTGTGTGTCTCATACTGTCAGAGCTACCAACAATGGGATTACATCAAACAAAATGAAAGTAGAACAGTGAATGCGAGCACAAGAGAGAAACGGTGCTGTTGGTCAAATCAGGATTAGAAAGGCATTCTGGGACTAACTGATGATTGCAAGATCAACACTAAAAGGGCAAATAAGGGCAGAATACAACGATGACGCCAAGGCTAAGATGGTAAAATGGAGAAATATTATCAACAAAATAGTTTTTGAATTCCAAACTCCAATTTACATTGACGGGACGGGAGCGGGGCACCGACATAAATAACATAGATTAATCAAAATCTTAGTAATAATAATAATAACAACATTAATAAGAAAAATAATAATAAGCGTGGTTGTTAAGATGTGGCGACGCTAAAAAACGTGAGCGCTAACGCCATTGGCAGGGCGAGTGATTAATAAATTCAACATTCCTTTTTCGTACATCCTGTGATTTTGTTTTTCGAAGAAGAAGTTAATTATGCAATGACGTTTCCGATGCGCGTTAGCTACGGAACTGCACTGTCGCAACCCAGCCTTGTTATTTAATCAAAGCTCACTAGGAAATTATGTCTATATCCTCGTTTTTTTTCAGAATGCACATTACATGCCTTCTATTTTGGCTTTCAGGCAAGCTTTCCCACATTATTATTTTACTTTTCTTTTCCCCAGAGTGTTCCTGTTTTGGCTGGCAATAATTGACCTGATCAACTGCATCATCACCATGCCAACGGAAATCTACGTGATGACCAACTTCTACTATTTCCCCAACGCCGGATTCTGCCGCATGTCCAGGTTTATCACTTACGTCATTAACAATACGTCTGCTGCCGTGTTTATAGTCATTGCCATCGATCGCTACATCCGGATATGTCACCCACACAGACAGACCATCTCTGTCTGCGGAGCTCAAGTAGCCTGCTTTCTGTCTTCTTTCATTGGCTTTGGAGTTTCATGGCCAGCCCTTGTTCTCTACGGTAGTAAAAAAATTCGTGTCCCTAGTTCTAGCAACCAGAAAGGATACATCTATGGAGTCATTTGCGACGTCAAGAATGATATGGATAACACGCCATTTCCTTTAGCTTTCTTCATTTACCTTTGGTGTGCGTTCTGTGTCTGCATTCTTATATTATCAGCGTTATACATTTTAATCGGAAGGGTGATGTTAAAGAGGAACAGAAAGAAAACAACTAAATTCAGACTTGAAGCCTCGCAGTTCGAGCATAATGGCGATGATAGGAACCAACACAACGATCAGACTACAGATCTCACGACTACCCTTGAAGAACCAAGTAGTGGGAATATAAAATGTAGTACAAACTTCCATTGTTCGGGCGCCAGCTGGAAGAACAGCAGAATGCGACCTCCAAGATCTACCTTGATGTTATTTGCCATAACTGCAGTGTTTGTGATGTCTTTCCTTCCCTTTCTGATAATCATGACGGTTCGTCAGCATATCGGGTCTTATTTCTACCCATCATTGACTCCTTGGGAGCAAGTGCTGGTGAACTTGTTTTCCAGGTCCTATCTGGTCAACAACTGTGCGAACCCGATTGTGTACGGAATGTGTAACTCCCAGTTTAGAAATCAGGTGAAGAAATTGTTTCATATCTCGACCAAAGGACGCGAGTCCAGCATATCCCGGGAGGAGTCTAGAGTTTCACGGGGGTTTTCCTGCTGACTGTAGCACAGGACGCTAGCATGACCACCCGACCACGGCCGGTTTAAATCCACATCAAACCGGATTATTCTGAAAACTGTCAATGACTCCCACATCGTTCCAGACTAAAACGGATACCAGTAACAATCCTGGAAAGTAAAGGCGACCGGCGTGATGTTGAAACATTACCCAGCGAGTACCAATTGATGTATTCAAATATGGGTCTTGGACCACAAGCCGGAGACGCCAAAGGGGCGAAAAAAGGTCTTTTTTTTTTTTTTGGATTGACTTTTAAATGAAACGTTGAGTTTATGCGTGTCTAAAATGAGCAAACCGACTACAGTAAAAACGTGAATATATTTCCAGCTCTGCAGTCGTGAGCCAAGTAGCATTCTCTTTCAACAAGCAAGGTATAACAAAACTGAAGTACCGCTGACTCAAGGAGCTATAGATGAGACTAACGTAACACAACATTAACCTACACTGCGGCAACAATTGTGTTGTTTAGTCTGCTGATGAAGACTCTTATGGGAACTTTGTGTTTTTTTCGTGTTACACCTCCCTAACTCTTCTACCCCCTTCGCGTATCCCCTCCCCTTTTCCTTCCTTTTTTTCTCTCCTAAAGGGAGCTTCTTAGTCTAAGTCTGTGTTGTGTTAATTTATTTATTGATACCAGCTGGACTACAATATGTCCAGATTTAGTCATCTTTAAAGATAAGAGGGACTGTGATATCGATATCATTGTCACGCAACGTTTCTTTCTTTTTTTTTTTTTTCAAACCGGGTCGGTCTCCCATATGGCCAGCCTGGCCGCCCAACTACCTGTAGGATATTACGTCGATACTCCAGCCTCAACGGGGAAACCGCCTGCCTTGAGTTTTATGGGATGGCTCTTGCCGACTGGGTTTCACCAATGACTTGATTTGTGAACGATCCCGGCTTCTCTGACCAGATCAGTGCAGCAAAGCTACATTTTGAGACAAAAGGTCGACGAAAAAGAACAGAACAACAAGAAAATTCTTTTGGAATACACGGGTTTCATTCCGCAAATTCTCGACTAGGGTATTATTAGCTCTGTCGGACATATCATTAACGTTATCGGGATGCAGTCAGCTAAATAGGGATAGAATCGTATTTTTGTGGGATCGAATCCAATCTTTAGAGATATCATTTACCGTATTAGGATATCATCTACTATATTAGGATATCATCTACTCAATGAGAATATCCCCAACTTTACAAGTGTATCCTCTCCATTAGGATATCATCCATTCCATTAACATATTTTTAATTGTATGAAGATGTCAGAAACTCCAAATATCATCAACTCTACAAGGATATCATCAGATCTAGAAACCGTCCGCTGTTTAGAGAGGTTATCAGTTCTAGATAACATCTCTGTGGGGATGCCATCAATTCTAGATATCATCAAATCTACAAGAATATCATCATCAATACGAAGATAACGTCGACCCTACGTACACACCAATGCTACATGGTTGCTAGCATTTCTAGATATCCTCAAATCTACAAGAATATCATCATCAGTACGGAGATAACGTCAACCCTACATACAAACCAATGCTACACGGTTGCTGGCATTTCTAGATATCATCAAATCTACCAGAATACCATCATCTATACAAAGATAAGATCAAGCCTACCTACAAACCAATGCTACATGGTTGCTAGCATTTCTAGATGCCATCAATTCTACAAGAATATCATCATCAATACAGAGATAACGTCAACCCTACATACAAACCAATGCTACATGGCTGCTGGCATTTCTAGATGTCATCAAATCTACCAGAATATCATCATCTATACGAAGATAATGTCAACCCTATGTACAAACCAATGCTACACGGTTGCTAGCAATTCTAGATTTAATCAGCTTTACAAGGTCATTTTCAGCTTCTATGAGGATAGAAAAATTAGTTAGTTAATTAAAAAAAATGATATTATCAACTATTTGAAGATAAAATAGCATCAACTGTGTCAACTGTATCATTAATTTAATGAGGGTATGGTCAGAGCTCAGTGGTATCATCAACACGTGGATATCATTAACTCTAGATATCATTACTTTACAGGTTTATCATTAACTCTGAATATCAACTTAGTGATAATACCATTATCTGCGGAGATCATCAACTCTATTATATCGTCGACTAGAATATCGTTAGCTTTGAATATTATTATCTAAGATATCAACAACTCGATGAGTATATCTTCAACTGTGTGGTGATATCATAATTTCTACGAGGATATCATTAAATTATTTAATGTATAATCAATTCTCTAAGCATTAACTTCTTTATGAGAGTGTCTTCGACTCTGTAAAGAAATTATATAGACACCATCAACTCTGTGAGGATATCATCAAGTTTATGAGTGTATAATCAACTCTGTGAGGATATCATCAATTTAGTGAGTGTATAATCAACTTTGTGAGGATATCATCAATTTCACAGTTCACATTGTTGCAGCACTCTTCTTCTTTTTTCTACTCCTGGAATGCCTCGCCGTGTCGGGGCAGGAAATAATCTCTAGAACGGACCCTTGTCTTTTCTTCGAATCAGGTACTTTCAGTGTCTCTGATATTTCTGTAGTCCATGTTTTACGTGGTCGACCTCTGGGTCTGTTACTGTTGTATCTGTATAACATTGCTCTCTGTGCTGCCCTGTATAATACCAATATTGTTACATGGCCAAACCATTTGATTTGTCAACCTTTAAAGTTCAGAACTGGTTCTGATGAGTTGAATTATGTTCACAGCACTTCGGACACATTCATAGGCGCTCAGATTCCCCTCTCAACATATTCATCAGCGTCGTGCGGTTAATAGTGCCAGTCCTTTGTTATTTAACAAGACTTCGTGTGCGTCCGGTGTGCTTCTCATGCTTGGCTGTGCCGATCTTTACTCCCAGCTCTCGTTTTCTTAGCAGTGATGTGGACACGTTGCTTCCAAAATCCTCAGAACGTTCTATGTCTCTAAGGACAATGATAATGTCTGCGTGATCCATGGGCCGGCCATCTTAAATTATTGCAGCACATGCCAGTCTATCACAGCACCTGCCAGTCTATCAGCTCTTTCATTACCAACAACGCCTGCATACCCTAGGACGAATATGAAGGTAACTAACTGCACACACAGGCGAGTTTTCAATGACTCAAACCACTGTCTGCGTAACCAGCCTGCTTCGACCCGCCAGGTCATCCTCAAAGAATCTCTCAGCACACACACGCGGGAATAGTCCTGTGATTCTAGCCACATGAAAGCTTGTATCACCTCCATCGTCATACTGCTGGTGGTCATGGAGAAGGCACCGCTGGCTTCTGGAACTGTTCTGCCTGAAGAGCGAGCTGTAAATGCCCCTTGCACACTTATGTCTTTGTGCCGACTCTCCTCTTGATATGCCTGATATCATCGCTCATAGGTCGATCCTAGTAGATTTGTTGCAGCACCGGCTCGGCATTTCCAGGTGGCGAGTTGCAGGAACACATCTCCGTGTTTCTACACCGAACATTAAAACATGTCTCTACAAATGGTGTTGTGCCTTGTCCTTAGTCTTAACGTGACACACTGTCCCTCTCCAGAGAGCCGATCAAGCGAGTCCTAAGGATACAAATGGTGTGTGTACCCATGCACCTTTCTTGGATCTCCTCTCACCTTGATTCACTGGTACCTTGCGGTGTCGAGGTGAAGTATAATTAAGGGGAAATGTCTGTTTGTGCGCTTCATAAATGGGGTTTGCCATGGACTGTCTTATTCCCTCTGTCTATAGTTTGCATGGTCGGCCCGGTCTTCGCTCCCCAGCCTGATCTGTTCATCATTGCTTGCTGTGGTATGCTGTTTGTTGGCATCGCCAATATATGGCCAAACCATTATACTTGTTGCTTTAGAATGAAATCTAGAGCTGCCACTACTCCTATTTCTATTCGGATTTCATCGTTTCTGATCTTTTCTCTTCCTTTTGCCCTTTTACGGATACTAAAAAACCATTCATGCTTGAAGTCGGCGGTCAATATGTGTTTATATTTCTGGGATGAATATTCCTATTTAGAATACTCACCGCTCTGCAAGCCTGTTTTTAATGTCTTTATTGACGAATTCACACACACACACACTCACTCACACACACACTCACACACACACGCGAAAAAGACTACATAAAAGGCAACATTTGCAAACATATGTACTATCCATCCAGACGTCAAGAAATGATCGAATGTGAGGCTGACTGAGTGATTTGTTGAATGATTGTATTTATGGTTGAATGAATGGTTGGTTGGGTGGTTGAATTTATGTTGCTTTGGGTGGATGGTAAAATATGTGATTGATTTAATGGTTGGTTGCATGGTCGAACTTAAAGCTAGTTTAATAGATGTTTGAATTTATGGTTGACTGAATGGTTGTTTAAATGTTTGAATTTATGGTTGGGTGGATATAAGTGAATTATGGCTGGTTGTATTATGGTTGGTTAAATGGCTGAATTTCTTATTGGTTGAATTCATTGTTGATTCATCATCATAAAGCAAATCTTTTGTGGAACGTCGCTCACGTCATTGTTTGCTTGAAAGATATTCGGTCTCTCGCCAGCTTTCCCACCTCTGTACTTTAATATTCAAGGAGTCACTTATATCCTGTGCCCATCTTCGTGTTGGTTGGCCTCTGCTGCTCCTTCCTGGTACCATGCCTTCTAATATTATTTCTTCTAATCCGCAATGGCGCTTGATATGACCAAAATATGTCAGCTCCCGAGACCAGATGCTGTTTGTTAGTGTCGTGGAACAGGTTCCTTTTACACTCACTAAAGTGGTGTTATCTTGTTAGAAACCGAGACAACTGTCTTTTGGCGCAAAGAGCAGACAGTGTCCCGGGATACTCAGATACAGACTCGAATTGGCTCGCGAAAGAAGGTGAGCTGCCTGAATATCCCCAGAAAAGGGATAAGGGAATTTAGATGCCTAAACACTTAGACAGAGCAGATTACCCCTCCCGACAATTTCCCTTT